ATTAGCTACATCAGCACTTAACTGACGGAAAGACGAAATTGGTGGTGAAAATTGAAGTTGAAGGATGTTTTTAGTATTTTTTGAAATTCAAGGATGAATTGGTTCAAAAATAAAAGTTAAGGGACCAATTCAAATATTTAACTTAAAAAAATATTTATTACGTAATCATCACCACCCAATTAATTCTTAAAAAAAATTTGAAATTTAATATTTTTAAATAAAAAAATTAAAAATTTACATCTTTATTTAAAAAATTTACTATTTAAAATTTTTATTTAAAAACTTAAAAAAATAAAATTAAGACTACAAAAAATAAATGGAGAGAGTAATAAAAAGCTTGAACTCCTTCAAAAATGGAATTCATTTTTATATTTAATAAAAGGCTTTTTCAATTAATTATTCTGAATTATGGATAAAAAATGCAGGATGGCATGGAAACATGCAGAGGCAGAATATGGGAGTGCAAATGTCTCCTGTGATGGAAGGTGGCATGCAAAGATAGAGTGGAGGTGGACCTGAGCAAGTTGGACATTAAAATAATCTTTAGTGTTTTAAATGAAATTAAAACGACTTCATTAGTTATGTTCAAATTAATGGCAAGGTCTAGGTTTAGAGCGAGAGACGACAGGACTTGGGGTGGCGGCAACTCCAAATGGCGGCAAGGGCAGAACCGGAAGATCAGGGAGTTTGAGAACTGGAGACAGGGACAGATGGAGTTGTTCTTCTTTTATAATTTTCCAGACAATTGGGATGCAAAGGCTTTATGGCATCGTTTTCAAGAGTGTGGAAAGGTTGGTGATGTGTTTGTGCCAGCAAAGAGGGACAAATGGGGGAAAAGGTTTGGTTTTGTTAGAATGATAGGGGTGCAAGATGTTCAGCAACTGGAAGGGAGGCTGAATTAGATTTGGATTGGTTCTTATAAACTGCGAGCAAAAGTAGCCATTGATAGGGGGCAAAGTGGAACGGATCATCAGAAGAAAGCTGGGATGAAGGGTAGAATGAGGGAGCAAAGTTTTGTCAAACCAGGGGGGTCATATGTTTAGGCTGTTAAGGGACATTCTTCGAGGACAGTGGGAGCCCAGGTTCGGAGAAAAACAATAGGAGCGTAGGAGAGAGCTGATCCTGTGGATAGGCTATCTATCAGTCAAGGGAAGCCTTTGGAGCTTGAGGTTGCTAGTTTTGGTGAAAAGGTAAGTGGTGGTATGGTCGGAGCAACTAGGGAGGGGATTATAGACTTTTCTCCATCCAAAGAGGAAAATAAGTGGCTGGAAGGGAGTATCGTAACGGTGGTGAGATCGATGTCAATGATATCTACCATACAAGAGAGAGTAGACATCGATGGAGGGTTGATTAATCTATCACCATTAGGAGGGCGGAGTGTATTGTTGACTGAACGATTGGAAGGTTACTTGAGTGAGTATATATAGCATAACAAGGAATTATTTGATCTTTGGTGTGAGGTTATTTATCCTTGGGCTATGGCTCCCTTGAATAGTGGTAGAATGGTCTGGTTGAGGATTTCTGGTGTCCCATTATAAGCATGGTGTGATAGGTGCTTTGAGCGGATAACAGAATCAGTGGGGGAAGTGGTAATGCTTCATGCATATACCAAATCAAAATCTATATTGTGTGATGGAAGAGTTTTAATTTTATGTGTTGAAAAGCACAAATTTTCAAAGACCTTGAAGCTGAAGGTGGAGAAGAAGCTGTATGAGATAATGGTGACAGAGGAAGAGTGGCGTGTTGATCCGAACTGGTGGTTGGTGGAGGATGATAGCCATGGAGACACAACAACAGGATCGGAATATTGCTCGTCGGAAAATGGAGAAGAGGATCCTGAATTGATGGTATCCGAGATTCGTGGTGATGATGAAGCTAATATCGATGCAGATTTGTTGCAGGAGAAGGGCATTTTGAATTTAAATAATGAAGAAGTAACGGTAGCCACGCAGTGGGTAAGAGAGGAGGAGAATGGGCCTGTTACGGAATTGGGCTTGATGCTGGACTCCAATTATGGGCTGAAAGAAGGGTCTGGGCCAGATCTGTGTGCAATTAAAATGCAGGAAATATGTGGATTGGGGTCAAACACAGATTCAGTAAAGCAGGAGAATAGCAAGGTACATTTGATGAGGAAATAAATAGTAATTTACATTTGTGTATTAGGGATTCGAGAGAGAGGAAGAGAAAAGATTTCAAAGATTGCTAGCCACAAGTGCAGGCAATCAATTGTGCAGCGGGATCCTAATGGATTACAGGCAGAACAACGTTGAGATCACATCGAACCCACAAAGTGTAGCAGGTGGCAGCGACGTAGGAGCAATGTGTTGGAAGCTCATCGTTGTCGGATGGGTGTATAGTCAACCGAAACCAGGTGATTCAAAGAGAGATGCATTTACAGGAGGTAAGGAGGATATTTAGTGTAGGGAAAAGATTGGGTATATAGTTGCAAGATAATGAAGAGGAGGTTCAGTCGAGGTTGTTAGAGCTAGAGGTTTGGGAAGCTCGGCAAAGGAAGGTGTAGCAAGGGTGGAGGTGATTGCTAGTGTGGGGTGTGTGTTTGTGATATACTTATGAAGTTAATTTTATTTAATGTGAGGGGGTTAGGGGGTACGGTGAAGAGGAGGGAGGTGAGTAAGTTGGTAAGAGCAGAGCGTCCAAATTTTTTATTTCTACAGGAGACAAAATTAGAAAAGGTGGAGGGTGCTTTATGTAAAATGTTGTGGTTTTCAGATGATTATGATTGGGTGATGAAGGAATCAATCGGAGCCTCTGGGGTTTATTGTGTATTTGGAATAGACT